AAAAAAAAAAAAAAAAAGCAATAGCATGTCCAAAATCCTTAACATGCAAGTCATGAACAAAACAAAACCATCCACTTCCTTATGTCATCGGTGAGGATTGATTGCACCTAAACCATGGATCTGAAATCCGATCTTTTGACTTTGACTTGCTGATCAGGAATGCATGCTTGTCAGCCAAATGAGGCTCCTTACCCGGTGACGAAATCCCTCCCCTTCTCGAAGTATACCGAGTCAATCAATTTAGTAAGTTTGCATAAAAAATAATAATAAAAAGCTTGTGTGAGCTGTCCGGTTTCACGTGTGAACAAAGAAGCACCCACACAATTTCTCAACCGCCGCCAAACAAGAAAAATGGAGAAAATGGAAAGCATTGCAATTTTCACAAAATTTCATCCAGTTTTTTTGTTTAATCAAATTCAACATTGAACTTATATATTCATTAAGTTTACGAAGAAAATAATAATAAATAATAAAAGACTCTAAAAACCTCATTAATTTAATATATATATATATATAAAAAGCTCAGTAGAGATGAAATTGACTATTAATAGTTTCACCAAGAACTTATAAAAGGTCTGAAAGTAACCATTACAATTTATAATTTAAAACTGGCAGTAAATATAAAATCTATTTGTTCTAAAAAAAAAGGTCAAAATGAACGCAATTCACCCGTTTTTAGTAGTCTAGAAGTTGGTTGCTTCCAATTCCATGAATGAATCAAAGAAGAAAGCCAAAAGTAGTACTTCTCGCTCAAAAATTGGAAACTTCATAGTCGTCTCCACCAAGCAACTACCTTATTAAATAACCGAGCAAATTCCCACCCATCAGCACCCAAACCCACACCCCTCGCACACACGCGTTTATAGTTTCCGATCTCTTCCTCCCAACGCCATTTTCCATTTTTACCAGTCTGGATACGAGGAGATGCACGCTGGTGAGCTATTATCCTTCTCTCCTTCTTCTCCTTCTTCTTCTGCAACTACAACCTTAAATCAGGAAGATTCTGCCGCCACAAGGATGAACATGGGCGTCTCTGCTAATTCCAGCCACGCGGAGCAGATGGAAAGGGACCTTGAATCCTTGGCTTTCGACGACAAATTACGGGTGGAGGATGGTGAAGAAGAAGAAGATGATGACGATGATGGAGAGTTTTCGTTTGTGTGCGCCAATCCTGATGGTTCCTCCCCAATTACCGCCGACGATGCCTTCTATAACGGCCAGATCCGCCCCGTGTACCCACTGTTCAATCGAGACCTCCTCCTTGTGGACGAGAAGGATTCTGAATCGCTTCGGCCGCCCTTGAGGAAGGTGTTCATGGAAAAGCGCGATACTCTGGCTCCCAAATCGGAGTTGGAGTTGGAGTTGGAGGTGGAGGGCGTTGTTGAGGGCACCTACTGTGAGTGGTCTCCTTCGGCGGCGGGGCTCGGCGAGAAGAGCAACTCCACGGGCTTCTCCAAGCTCTGGAGATTCCGGGAATTTATGAAGATGCACCGAAGCAGCAGCGATGGCAAAGACGCCTACGTTTTCTTGAGCAAACCCTCTAGTTCCTGTTCCCCCAAGTCCCCCGACAACAAGCCCCACAAGCTTCAACCTCAGACACCATCCTCTGCCTCCGCTCCAAAAGTCAACCGCCTAAAACCCCAGACAGCAGCCTCTGCCCACGAGACACACTACGTCAGAAGCAGAGCCCAGAACCAAGCCCACAAGCGCAAGTCCTATCTTCCCTACCGCCAAGATTTGGTTGGCTTCTTCACCACCGTCAATGGATTCAGTAAAAATGTTCATCCTTTTTAAATCAACATTCATTTTCCATGTAAATATTTCTACCCCAACCCATAATTTTGGCATTAGCAATACAATGCGATGCGAGAGAATTAATTCATCTTGAATTTTGTAACTACCAACTGTAACTTCAACACTTTTTTGTATATATATATCTATCAAACAAGTCTCCATAATCCCTAGGCCTTGGGTTCCAAAATACTGCTACAATTCTCAACATTTAATAATGCGAGCCATTGGATGCTTAAATTCTCAATTCACTGTCATTCCAAACTTGGACATAAAAACAGAGTGCGATTCTATCGTATTATGAACTGAACCCGAAACCGCTTTGGAGCATTGCATCATGATCGCAAGTCAATGATTTCAAATCTCAAGTTGGAATTTTGGTAGACATTAGAGCAGAGCTCGTAAATGGGGCTGCCATCTTCTGGATCTTTGTGAGTGTGAAAACCATCCTCTTGACACTCTCTCAGGATCTTCATCCCACCAGGATCACTTAGTCGAAATATTCCAAAGCTCCTAAAACACAACAAACAGCTTCCACCATATCAATTATAAGTTGAACACAGCAATTGAGTTTCACACCAATTGGCACTTTGGATGGCTACCTTGATGCATCTGTTGGAGCAACGACAATGGCGAAAGCCTCAGGCACCATTACCTGCTCAACCAAAAAAACAAAGGGATAAACTGTGGGATGCATATGATTTCAAGTTTTACACAACTCAGATGAACAGACAACCGTCAATTTCATGAGGAATCAATGACAATGGCAATCAAGGGCATTCACAATGATTTAATTCGAAGTTATTAGCTAACCAGCTACCTCGGTGGTTATAACGAAGACATTACCTGATATGGATAGTGAGTGTGCAGATCTATTGAAGACATGAAACAACTCTGTGAAGGATGCGTCTGGAATTTATTTTTCAGAAGGGAAAAAGGAAAAGGCTTTAAAGGTTAGAAAATACATATGCTTATATTAATATTTTCAGGAGAATTCAGGAATATTTACTAACAGTTGCTCTAAATTCACAAGTGTGAACATCATAATACATATAGATCTAGAAAGGAAAAGCAAGGAAGTAGTTTTCATCTTATTAATATCCACTCAATGAAAGCTTTCACCAAATCAATTTTCAAAAGATATTGGGACTTTTTTCTTGGTATTCTCACAAGCTTAAAATTGGAAGCTAAAACATGAAGTTGAGATGTTATCATACTTGTCCAATAGGCACAAATATTTATGAGGGAAAAGTATAGGCGTGTACAATTGGGGACAGCATACATGAATCCATCCAACTGGACAAAGGGATCGTTCGCTATGAATTGCGTAGACTTCTTCCTCGTTTATAGCTTGGCACTGTCATTTGGTATGAAGACAGAAGCAAGTACGGCCTGTAAGAACATTAGAGGGCGGTTTTAAATATAAACCAAAGAATAAAGGTCAAGGGAGGCGATGATCTAACAGAATTGGAAGTCGATTCCTGTTTTGGTATGACAAGCGTAGTCACATAGAAGGTTTCTTCCTCCTGCTTTTAACAAAAAGGGGGAATATATATAAGTTCGTAAAACTTGATTTCAAACAAACATATCCCACAATTAAAGCGTATAAAGCAAGGCAAGGAGCATATCAAAAGAAAAGGGAAGAAGGAAAATATACAAAGGTAATGCCACCAACACATCAAAACTAGCTTCGCATTGGAAATTCAAATTATTGAAATCTCATTTTCTTACGTGAAGTTGTGAATAAATGTGACTATTAGCTTTTGGAATGACAGAGATATTATCGGTACGAACCAACTTGAACACAACCCAATTGGTTAAAAAAAACGTCCTCAACCAAGAGGCTAGAGGTTCAAATCTCCTACTCCCGCTTTCGTTACAACTCCAAAAAGTAACACAGCCATGAGTCAACATTTAGTAAAGTTATTTGAGCCTCTGAATGACATGAGACAGCCAACTCAATAATTATATACACAGAACTGAAATGAGTTTTGAGGACAATATCAGATGGAAGATCAAAGGTCAATTAAAATTATTCAAGTAATCTTTAGACATGCAAGAAGCCAAATACAATAACTCTATGGTAAGAATATATATGTACACACACACACACACACACATTATAACTCCAGCTTCAATGGAAAGTGTAGGAAATCTTACTAAATGGGCTCCAAGAATCCCACAGGTCTCAAGATCTTTCTCCGTGTTACTCTTTGAAAGTGCGAGAAAATCATCCATTAGTCTTGTTGACTGAAAATGAAAAGATTGTAACGATCCTAAGACAGCATCTCGTGGATATCCGGTTTGAGTATAATAGCAAAACCAGGACCATTGGAATTGGGAAGAAAAAGAATATCGATGTCTAAGCCGTAAGGTAGCCAGAATACATGGTTGTAACAAGTGGTTATCATTATTTTTATTATTATTACTATTCAACGATATGTGGGGTAGAGATAGATTGTTGGTTGGCTAACAAGAATGCATGGGTGCAGTGCAACAAGAGGTTAATTTAGTTCTATACACAAGAAGAAAGAGTTGAAAAAAAGTGGGACATTTTCCTTACTATATGTAAAGTTTTGAGAAGTCCAGATGCAGATGAGTCATTATTGGAGTTGAAGTCTCCACGCTCGTCATCCCCAGTAATTGGCGAAATTTGTACATCTTGAGGCAATTTTGTTGTACAGGAGATTGCCAGTGATGGGGAATTCTGAGTAACAGGATGCTGCCTGGTTAAACAGTGTCAATATTACATGCTAGATGGGAAAGAATACAGCAGCTTCTGTCCGAGAAGAGAATTGCCATTACCTTCGAGTTCTCATTTCTTGCGAACCACTGTTCATGGCCTAGAGGAAATACGAACACGGACAAATGATATTAATTAAAGACGAAAATTAATGAACCCAGCTTATAGTATTGAAACTTTTTATTCGCTAGTGGAAAAATGGAATCGTTCCTTCGATGACACGGCCCTGGAAATTGAGATTCTTGTTCGATATGTAAATCAAATAATTTAATCTGATTTGTTGAATAGCTATAGTCAGCAAGGAACCACGGACAAAGGGCATCTAAAAGAATTAAATACCACAATAAAGGAAAACATAATTGGAAGGAAACGCTTAGCAGAATTTATAACAGCTAAAAGAAACGAAGATCTGCGCGCAGGAGAGGGAGTAGAAAGGGGACGAACCTTGGAGTTGGCTGGATGATGATGCAGTGCAAAGCAAATGGGGAAGAAAGTAGGGAGCATTCTGTTCGGCGTGGGTTGTGATCAGCTCCATCCAGTTTTACCCAGAATCGTTTTTCAGGTTTTTGTTAAGGCCCAGGGGAACTCAGCCTTCGGTGACCAGTGATGCGATTTGCAATTCTACACGCACACCCCGAAGCCGGCAGCCCGGCCCAACAGATTCTCTTGGTTTTTCTTTTAATATAATTTATTTCGATCCAACTTCTACTTCATTTTCATCAAGTACAATGACTCGTTAATAGAAGGAAAAGTATACTTTATTTTCAAATTAAAAAATAATGTATGCCAGATTCAAATACGCATGTTTCATCTCTATTCTTTTTTAGACAGTTTCATATTTCATCTTTTATTATTTATCCATAAATTGAAGATTATTGGATGAAATCCGATGCACCTTATCCTACCGAGGATAAATTAAATCTTTATCTTTTACTAATTTTATGTTTTGAACCCCCCGGGTTACAAGGTTAAATTTCGAAGGGTAGACACGTGGTCGACCACGATTAAAGTCTTCTGATGATCAATCATCGACGGTTGTTACTTCATACCAACTTTATTTCTTTCCTCCAAGCCAGACTTTGACGGCTACGTTTCTGAACTCAGATCGGCTTCCTTTTTCTCCCTTCGTCTTTGCCTCTACCACCCGTAAAAGGTGATTTCTAAACCCTAAAATTTTAGTTCCAGTTATTCTTGTACCTCTCCTTCTTACATTTTATATTTCTCTTCGCTTCTGAACTTTTCTGGCATTCAGGTTGTGATTTTGTGGTACTTGTTCGGTTTGCATGTTCTTTTTATGATTCCTATTTATGACATTCAAGTCTGAAATTTTATATATAAAATGCGATCAGAAATACTTGCAGAACATTAAGTTCGCTGATTTATAACTAATTTACGTTTTTCATTGAGGTTTAAGCATGCTTCGAAACATTATTTGAGCACGCGCCATTTCTTCAAGTTCCACATTGGGCCTCCTGTAATTTGATACACCTTCATTTGATTCACGAAATTTTTCGGGACAGAAAAGTTATGAAAAACTGTGTATGCTTGGTTTTAATTATTAGCGTTTGTGTTTAAGCGATTAATAGCTTTTAAATGCTCAGAAGCGAATAATGGTGTTGTCATTGGAGTGCATGTTTACGGACGATTAGTTGGTGGGATGAAAATTTACATGTTTGGAAGTGAACGGAGAAAATGAGATTGGCGGTAAATTAAGAACAAGAACAAACGACATGTTATTTGAGAAAGCTATGCACTAAATCTTTGGTTGGGTGTAAGAACAGTAATGCTCTGGTTAGAAAGATAAATGTTTCTCTAGTCACCTTGGTTCATTTTATTATAAACTGAAAGAACTTCTATATTATCTTTAATTTTTCAGATACAGAGGTAGAAGGTTGAATAATCAAGCAGCCATTAAAATCGTGCCAAAACTTGATGCCAATTGCCAACAACTTAACATTTTTTCTTTAACCACTGTAGGTTGACCTACTAGTCAAATGTAGGCTTAGAGGAAAAGTGTGCATAGCCACCTGCCTAAGACTTACGGTCCTATAGTGTCTTTGAAAACCAAATGCAATAGAGTAAGACAATTGTCTCAAGTTTAGTCGAAATGATCGGAGATTTTCAAATATTTAAAATATTAATAAGAAAAATAATTTTCCACTTTGCTTTTCGATCTTATCGTATTTCTTTGAAGGGATAATTTTAGTATTTCACCCATTTTTTGTCATGGATATTTAATCAATCCGAGGCTTTCATCATCCTTGTTGATATGCTAGCACTCTGGGCCTTTTTTTATTCACTTCATTCTATTGTCTAACTGTTTTCTTATTGTTTATATATTGGTACGAATAGGCATTTGTATCCGGAGAAATGGCAGAATCAAAACCTGGACTAAGGAAACCAGTATTTACCAAGGTTGACCAACTTCGGCCGGGCACTAGTGGCCATACTCTTATAGTCAAGGTTGTGAATGCTAAGATGGTATTGCAGAAGGGTCGTCCTGATGGTCCTCAAGCCCGTCAGATGCGAATTGCTGAATGCTTGGTGGGTGATGAGACTGGAATGATCATTTTTACTGCCAGAAATGATCAAGGTAAATTTCAACGATATGTGAGCATGCATCATTTGTGTACTTGTATCTTGTATGAGGCATGCCAACTTTCTTATTTGTGCTTTTATTCTGTACATATTACTAAACATTGGACGTTAATTGGTTCTTGATATCCACATGCAACAGAAAAGATGCAGGTAAGAGTTTTCATAACTGATTTATATGGGTGTCTCACTCGTCCACAATGTATTTACACATTTCAATGTGAAAGGTATAGGTCGTTTTGATATATCAACTTCCTATTATTAAAGATTTCATAAGTGTTTGTGGCTTTATGTTGTCTTAAAATTAACGAGGAACCTTTTTCACATACAAGGAACTAGATTTTTACTAAATGCCGGTACATACAGAGGTTGAAATAAAACGGCAATTGAAAAAAATCATCCACACAAAATTGCCTTTTAAAGAACTATAACTTCATACGTTTTCGGTTATACATATGGTGTAATGTCTAATAGTTGGATAATCACTTCAATAGCTCAATTGCATGTCGGATGCTGGATTAATGTAAAGTCCATACATTTGTAAGGATAAGCTCTTTGCCGAATCTTGAGAATAATAGATTTCGAAGGAACCTTCTGTTTTTTTTTTTTTCTTTTTAATGATCTTATGAGGGAAATTAGTGCTATAAGGTCCGCAAATGTTTGTTAATGGTGTTCCTTCCACAGCTTCTTTCATCTCTTGATTGCATTTGCACATTTTTTATATTTTGATCTGATTATGCATGCCAGTGAGTGGTCACCGTTCACAGTACTGTATGTTAATTGTATTTTTTAATCACATATGGATGCTTTAGTGATCAAATGGATCCTAGGCTATTTTATTGTATGAGGGAGTAAGAAAATGAGCTGCTGTATTTGTTGTTTTTTTCGATCCTGAAAAAGAAAAGATAGAAGTGGTGAATCGTTGAATGGAAAACTGGTTAATAACACCATAACTTTGTAGTTCTATTGTTGCAAAGAAAACTATTCCTCCTGCATTGGCTGATGAAAGAGGTGGACAAGAATGGTATTTATGCAAGGTAGGTTCATGGTTTGACAGAGGGGAACAGGTGGTGTAGGAATGGGATAGTTTTATGTTGTAGATGAAATTTTTCTTCAGTCAAATTCTTGTTGTTAAAATATATGCCTGTGATTTGACTCAGCCTATCTTTGTGTAGCTTACCTTTGTTCATGAGATTAGTAAATAACGTCATCTAGGATTCCCTTTAAGCAGTCGGGACAATTTTGTAAGTTATGTACCTTGTGATTTTAATTCCAACTGACCCCTATCGTGTTTAGTTAGCCAATCCTTAGAGAAGATTTTATATTAATATTGAATCTGCCCTCGTAGCCACAGTTCTATTTGCTTATTTGAATGAGTATTTCTTTTGGCGGACATATTTAAATGGCATTAAAGTTTCCGTAGCTCATTTACTCGCATGTTGTTGCTTTCTTCCGTGTAGTGGACTTGATGAAAGAAGGTGCTACTATTACCCTGCGCAATGCTAAGATTGACATGTTTAAAGGATCAATGAGACTTGCCGTGGACAGGTGGGGCCGAGTTGAAGTTACTGAGCCTGCTGCGTTTACTGTTAAGGAAGATAACAATCTTTCACTCATTGAATATGAACTCGTGAATGTTATGGAAGAGTGAATTTTGTGATCGTGTTCATTTTCCTGCTGCAACATGACCATAAAATAAAACAATCAAGCTACAAACTCACGAGTTTCCGTTGGGGTGTCGAAAATGCTCGCACAAGTTCATTATTAGGGAATAGAATTATGGAAGCCAGTACGAAAGTTGATTTCCATCCCTGCAGCCAATTGGTGGAACCGTTGAGATCTACAAACAGGTGGGTGATGGCTCAGTTGATGGAAGAAGGCTTGGCTGGCTTTTCTATTTTTCGTTTGTCTAGTATTTTATTGCTTATGAATACACTTTATGATATCGCGAACTATCATCAGATGACAAGACTAGCACCTTGTTCCGTTAAAGCTTATGTTTTTGAAAATTCAAGGTCGATGCCAACTTGACTGCCTTCGAGTGTCAAATCTTATTCTTAAATGATTGATTACTCCTAAAAAGTGAGGATTTCATGACCAATAGTTTAGGACATAATGAACAATGGTTGTGGATCATAGTCTAATCGAGAAACTCGTAGATTTGTTGGGGAGTTTATCCAGGAATTTCCAGGTAAAATTCACAGGAGAAGCAGTGAGGGGAAAATGGAGATCATATGAGGTATTTATGTAATTGCATTACGTCTCTTTGACGTCATGCACAATCATCATTTGAAACAATGTTTATTTGGAGTCCTAACATCTGATGTCACTACTCGCATATCTTTGTATCTTATTTGAAATAGCTCTGTTCTCCAACATGATACCGCGTTCAAATGATTGGATGGCCAAAGGCTTCAACTAGAAAAAGTGCTTTATTACTTTATCTTTTGGTTATGAACGCATTTCTACCCGGAACCAGGGCACTCATAGTCTCGTCTTCATCTGTTTGGTCAAACCAAATGGTTTTAAATTCTATTAATAGTGTCTGTGGTGGTCTTAATTAGGAGTCCGGAGCGTTCACTTGCAACCCCGTTTCTGGCTTATTCTGGGCCCCCATCCACGAATCTTACGGTTGTAGTGGTCAACCGAATTACATATATACCAACCTTCACAAAATGAAAGCAGAGGCCGTGCGTCCCATGATGAAGTTGCCTCTTTCCCATCCACTTTTGGGTGCTCTTCCCTTTTTGCTATTGGTTACATGATTAGTGCCAACACTATTGTGTTCTCCAGCTACAAAAATATCATGAAATTAGTGGAGTTTTTACTTCATAGTTCATTGAAATTTTCAGGTTAATGTGGATTGAATCTACATGCCAATTCGAGATATTTTTATGGTTCTCTTTTGGTCTAGTTAATGATGCAAAATTACCAATCACATTAAAAAATTCGAAAGGCGTTAATACTTCAGTGAAAGCTACATCGAATACT